CTAATGTGCACACTATATAAGGACCCCTTTAGCTCAAGAAATTGGAACTAGTGAAACATATATGAGGGCTAGACGATTTGAGCATGAGTGTCTTCTTCTCATGGTTATTCCAAGTGTTGATGATGTTATGTGAACCATTTGAGGTGTCACACTTGGGGCACTAGGCTCTCGAGCTTCATGGAGTCAAGCTACATCAACAAGGTATGTATTCTATCTATTTTGTTACCCAAGTATCAAAGATTGTACGCTAGTTAGGGTAATACCTTGGAATATTCATATTTGCATGTATAATAGAGAAACATAAATCCAAGGTATTTAGGGTTGCATGTACACTTAGGAGTGTTAGAATGATCAAAACCCAACAGTATATTCAGCACGGGTGTGCGGGTTATCTAGCGTATGTGGTGGATACGTGGGTCAGGGATCATATTTCAGTTTTAGAGGTTCCAGTGGTTAGGGAATTTGCCGACGTGTTCCCGGAGGAGTTTCCAGGGATACCTCCGGAGAGGCAGTTCGAGTTCTGGATCGACCTGGTGCCGGGTGCGGCTCCTATCGCCAAGGCGTCGTACCGGTTGGCGCCACCCGAGATGCAGGAGCTGTCTTCACAGCTGCAGGAACTGTTGGGCAAGCAGTTCATTCGACCTAGCAGTTCTCCATGGGGAGCACCAATCCTTTTCGTCAGGAAGAAGGACGGTTCGCACCGGATGTGTATTGATTATAGGGAGTTGAACAAGTTGACGGTGAAGAACCGTTATCCACTCCCGAGGATATATGATCTTTTCAATCAATTACAGGGTGCATCTTGGTTCTCCAAGATTGATTTGAGGTCGGGATATCATCAGGTCCGGGTCAGGGAGGAGGACGTGGAGAAGATCGCGTTTCGGACTCGTTATGGTCATTATGAGTTAGTGGTGATGCCATTTGGGCTCACCAATGCACCAGCAATATTCATGGACCTAATGAATCGGGTCTGCAGACCGATGCTTAACCGCTTGGTCATGTGTTTATAGATGATATCTTGGTGTATTCCAAGACCCGAGAGCAGCACGAGGAGCACCTTAGGGAGTTGTTGCGAGTTCTGAGACGAGAACGACTATATGCCAAGTTCTCGAAGTGTGAGTTTTGGTTGCGAGAGGTCCAGTTCCTAGGACATCTCGTTAACCAGGAGGGGATTTTGGTCGACCCGGCCAAAATCGAGGCAGTCATGCAGTGGGAGGTGCCGAGGTCACCTTTGGACATCAGGAGTTTTCTGGGTTTAGCAGGGTACTACCGGAGTTTTATTTGGGATTTCTCTAAGATTGCAATACCCCTCACTCGTCTGACGAGGAAGGGGTGGATTTTCGGTGGGGTCCCGGACAGCAGAGGGCGTTTGAGACTCTCAGTCAGTGTTTGTGCGAGGCTCCAGTCTTAACACTCCCGGAGGGAGTGGAGGATTTTGTGGTGTTCTGTGATGCATCCATCACAGGTTTGGGGGCGGTCCTCATACAGAGAGGACGGGTGATAGCCTACGCGTCGCGACAGCTGAAGCCGCATGAGACGAGATATCCTACTCACGATTTAGAGTTGGTAGCGGTGGTGTTCGCTCTCAAGATATGGAGACATTACTATATGGGGTCCGTTGTACCATATACACATATCACAAGAGTTTGAGACACATCATGGATCAGCCGAACCTGAACATGAGGCAGCACAGGTGGCTGGATGTAGTCAAAGACTACGACTCACTACTAGAAAAACAACCTTTTACGACGCGCAATGCATGTCATAAAACGCTCAGATGACGCGCAAATGCGAGTCAAGGAAGGCCCTGTCATAACGAGAGACGACACGCTTTTGTGCGCCGTCTATTTACGACGAGCATTTACGACGCGCATTCATGACACGCATTTACGACGCACAGTTATGACACGCAATGCGTATCAAGGAAGGCCCTGTCATAAAGGAAGATGACACGCATTTGCGTGTCGTAACCTTATGACACACGTGTTTATGACACGCAATGCGTATCAAGGAAGCCCCTGTCATAAAGGAATACGACACGCATTTTTGCGTGTCATAATTTTAAATGTTTTTAAAATTATATATTTTTGATAGATTTACTAATTTTCAAATTAAATAACACACATTAAAAGTCTCATAATACAAAATAAAATACCATAAACAATAAAGATAACGAATTGCATTAATATGTCAAATACAAATAATCATTCCAATAGTAAGTAAATGTAACACATTGCTAATATTGCATAATATTTATTATAGAAAACAAAACATGTACAACATTAAAAGAAAGTCATGACTAAATTATCCTTTGACAATTTCCTTTCTAATAGAATATGAACCTTTTGCTGATGAGAATGCTTTTGGCAAAAAGACTTCACTCTATCAAGAGCTTCTTCAAGAGAAGATGGGTCTGCAACAAAAGTTACACGAATCCAGTTTTTCAAACCTACTGTAAGTCCTGCAAAACCCAAAAAGAAAAGTCAAAGGGGTATATTATATGGTAGTTTGTATTAAGATAAGAATATGTGTATCTACATGAGAACGAATGAATTTCCATAAAAAATCACCAGCCAAACCTGAACATAATTTTAGGTGCTAAGATATTATAATGGGAAAACAAGAAACATAAACTGAGAAACTCAACAAGGAAATTTTGGCTTACTATAATCACAGGAAGTGCTTCAGCTTCAGACACGTCCTCCTTAATCACACTGGATTCACTTTCTTTTTAGGAAGCATCCTCAACCTTTTCAGTGGGTTTAACATCTGTATCATTATTATTTCTTTCAATGCCATCATCCCCTTTACCCTGAAAGAACAGATTATAGGTATGATTAAACAAGATAATTATAAATCAGACTTATTATATAAATAAACGACCATTGACCACAACTAACATACATCTCCCACTTTCTCTTTCTCAAGTTTGGTTTCTCCTTCAGAACC